CACATATCCTCCCACCCTGGCAAAAGCACAAGAATCCTCCGCTGTCCCATCAGCACGGCAAACCGAGACACTTCATACAGCACCGCACGTGTCGGCCTGCAGTCTCCACTGAGTATTTTTTTTAGCTGACAGGGCTCCCATCGTTTATAGGGAGCGCTCTTGCCGATTATATCTGGATAAGCTAGCAGTAATTGTATCGCAAGCCTGACGCTGCTGATGAGACCTAAAAGGTTAAAACCACTCCAGAGCATGGGAGCTCAAACAATGGGAAGACCGGGAGGCTGATGGACGTGAAAAGACAATTCGTTTTTGTAAAGATGCAGGACAAATGAAGATTATCTGTAACGCTGGGCTACTAATAATCTATTTAGCTCTGATTACATTTTTCATTAACACGTGGCAATTAACAAAGTGAAAGATAGAATATTAATAAAATACCCAAATGGACTCGTGGTTGTAATACTTAATACGTGCCATTATAAAACGCGATGATAATTAACTGCAATCTGAATAACAGGATAACACAAATGTAATTACCATGCAGCAGGACGACTGCACGTTAATAACGCGTCAGTACACCCTGCGGCCCCTTCCCTTCGCAGGGACAATTTCAGAGACCAATGAAATGATTTGTATTTAACCACGCAGACCAATCATAAGCACGCCGCGTGTTTGTCTCCGCTGAGTATGTAAACAGTTTATTCATGACAGCCGCTCACTGATTACATGATCGGGGGTTCACGTGGGACGATGGCACGGTGGGACTCAGCTGTGCCAGGGGTGGCTGGGGATGCTGACACGCTGACCCCTGACCCCCCCTCCCCCGCTGCTCAGGGAGGTGTGAGCAGCCCATGAGCCAAGGGGGTTGGCGCCGATACCACCTGCTGTGGGACATCCTGCTGGGCTGAATCCACCATGGGTAGTGTTCACCATGAGCAGTGTTCAACATGGGCAGTGTTCACCATGGGCAAAAGGCTCAGAGTACATACTGTACTGTCGGTTGTTTACACATTACTTTCATTGTTTTAATCCAAAATACTATTCCCTTTAATTATATTGTTCTTGTAAAAGGCTACCCAATGGGACCTTGCAATCACACACATTTGAAATCTGGAGATAAAACACTGCGGGAACACATTCCGTAGAATTTACCAACCTAGGTGGTGGTACTAATGAGGCTTTGTCAGGCCAATGGCTCCGATGGCTTGACACGGGGCACGCAGATTGAGCTCTTGAGAGCTTCCCACGTGGCTGGGTGTGGAAGGGACAAGTGAACGCCGTTTTGGAGGGGACGGTTTGGTGTGGCGGTAGGGACGGTGTTTATGCGTTTGAGTTCGTCGCTCCACGTCTAAGTGGATCACCCCCATGACTTATTTATGAGAGGTCCACTCCGCACAGACACCGTTTCCTGACGGAATAAAAACAAGTAAAGGTGCAGCCCTGCAATCGCTGGCTCACGCCACAGCTGGTGGAAGAGCCTCCACTAGATCCTCTGGAGGGGTTTCGACCTATTCTTCTACGCTGACCACGCATTTTGGAAGAGGTTATAGGACCCACACTTTACCCCACCACACGCCAGCGGCTGATCGACTTATTTGGGGTGTATACATTTCTGCTGCTGGGTGGACAGAGGCTTGTTGTGAGCCACTGGTGAGAATGCCACATTCCTGCAGTTGAGACACATACACACACATACACACACACACAAGTGCGTGCCTACACACACATACACACAGCACGTCCTGCACACACAGAGTCCTGCCTTTCGCGCCGCTATGTGGTATTTGAATCATCTGCAGGATAACGGGCATTATCTCCTGGAGGGGATAAAACTAATACATTCTTATTGTTTGGCATATCGCCTTAATAACGCTAAACCTGGGACCATTCATTATACAGTGCGGATGCCCTCATGCGCATTAGCATCTCGCAGCCCATTCATTTCCTGTAAATGACATTCCAGTAACCTTTCATTCTGCCGGCGCTCCTGATTGCATGTCCAGCCGGTGTGAAGGCGCGTCAGCTTAAACAATGTGCACGGCGTCCTGTACGAGAAGAAGAATAATCATCGTCATCATCATCACAATGATGACCGCGACACCCTAATGATGTCTTCTGCGGCCCGACTCGCAGCGGGTTCCGACGCGGGGCTGACTCCACTGACGAGCCCGCACGGACGGAGCTCCATCCGCTCCGTCCGCTCCGTCCGCACCGCGGTGAAGTGCTCCAGCTCCCATTAGAAGGCAAATACGGCATTAGTCATTAAAAAAATTAACCCGTAAAAACAAAGTTTTTCACTATAAATCCTTGATATGCGTGTTCAATGGGCCACAACCCAGCCCACATTGGTCTTTGAAACGGGCGGCTAGAGTCCTCTCGTCCTCTGGCTTGAGATGGCTGCCACCTATGAGTCAGATGATTGCCTGCCACCATTAAGCAATTGGTAATTAAATATAAAAAAATTACCTAAAAAGTGTAAAATTTTGGAAAACTATTTTCACAAAAAGAAATTATCACGCACAACGAGTCTGTGTGCAAAATGTCAGCTCGATTGGATCACGGGAAGTGGGTTAAAAACGACCGAAAGATTTGCACGGTCGTAAGCGCGCAAGCAAGCAAGTGAACTTAATATAAAGGATTTAATAATACATGATTCGACTGATTTGCCCAAGAAAGCCTCAGTGAGTCTCTCTGTCAGGAGGGCCTGCGTCGGGATGATTCGTCAATTCCACTCATGAGCTTCTGGCTTCTTGTCGGAGGAAACCAGAGAATGTGGTGAAAACTCACCCCGTATAAGACACTCACAACTCCACACAGACAGAACCATCACTCCAATGTAGTGCAGTCATCTTTCAGGCATCTCGCAGCCCAAATCGACAACACATATTTATTATGTTGATTTCGGACTTCTGATTAGCACGGTTGACTAGGTACGGTGTGGCAGAAGTTCAACATATATAGGTGCTGGCAGTCTCCCATCCAAGTGCAGTCCTAACCAGGCTCCATCCTGCTGAGCTTCTGAGATCTCGTGATGTCAGGGTCACCTCACCATCGGTTAACAGAGCGCGGTGCTGTTTCTGCAAATTTTCTAATTATGAAGTCAAGGCCTCTTTTTTCTGCGTATGATGAAATATTGAAATATATAATTTTCCCACCTACGGGGTCTGTGCTTGAATAAACGCTTTCCGCTGCTTTGTTTAAAATAAAAAAAGTCTTCGCTTGTAAACAGCTGCTGGACACAGGTCACGGGCACGGCGGCTCAGAGAGAATGGGAGAATATTAATCTCGCTAAATCATCAGTTCGGAGAAAAAGCCTCGCGGAGTGAGCCCCGAGGGTGTTGGTTTAAGTCGTGAAAGGAATGTTTTTCAATCGAAATATGGTACCCATCACCACCACGATTAAAAGCACAACGTATGGGAACTTTGAAGAATAATCAAGAAATAAATCCACGTGACCCACGGGCAAGCTCTTGCGTCGTTGAGATGTATGCGCCGTCTACCCATTGCCATCGAGCTCGGCACGCCGCTCAAGGAGCCCTGACGGCACGCACACCTCCCCTCGCGGGGCCCAGCGGCTCCGGCTCCTGTGCGTCCAGAACTCGGACGTCAGGGCAACGTCGACTGCGCCGCGGCTGTGGCCGTGCGCACTCTCCTCTTCGGGTCGCGCCGCGCGTTTGCTCGTCACGACGTCCGACGTTTCGCTCCTCCATCCCGGCAGCTCTCTTGAGGAATTGGACGGAGGCCGCTCTTTGCTTTGCCTCGGTTATTTGGCGTTGCCGGCAGCTGCTGGTGTTCCACGCGGGCCGGCAAGCGGCAGCGGCAGCGGCAGCAGCAGCAGCGGCAGCAGCAGCAGCGGCAGCTGCGGCAGCAGCGGCAGCAGCAGCAGCAGTAGCAGCAGCAGCAGCGGCAGCAGCAGCGGCAGCAGCGGCAGCAGCAGCAGCAGCGGCAGCAGCAGTAGCAGCTGCAGCAGCAGCAGCTGCGGCAGCAGCAGCATCAGCGGCGGCAGCAGCAGCAGCGGCAGCAGCAGCTGCAGCGGCAGCAGCAGCTGCAGCAGCAGCGGCAGCAGCAGCTGCAGGAGCAGCAGCATCAGCAGCAGCAGCGGCATCGGCAGCATCAGCAGCAGCAGCAGCATCAGCAGCAGCAACAGCATCAGCAGCAGCAGCAGCTGCATCAGCAGCAGCATCAGCAGCAGCAGCATCAGCAGCAGCAGCTGCATCAGCAGCAGCATCAGCAGCAGCAGCAGCATCAGCAGCAGCAGCTGCATCAGCAGCAGCAGCGGCAGCATCCGGCAGGGCTACGATCGAGCTGCTCCTTTCGGTTCCCAAAGAAGCTCCCAGCGTGCAGAGCGAAACGTCGGCCGTCGTGTCGAACAACGACAACAACAACAACACGCGGTACGGGCCCACTGCAAGGAGTTCATCGGAGGGCTCCATGGAAGAAAAGAAATCGCGAACGCCCTAGCAACAGTGTCGACAATTTTAGCCGGCACAGCAATCCTCGCGACACGCGAAGAGATGGAGACAACAAAACGCCGCACCGAGAAAAAGAAAACCTTCAGCGTGTGGTTGCTTCATCTGTTTCTAAAACATTTGGTCACTTTCATTTTTTGTAGCTTTCCTTCCAGGTATTTCCTGACCATCAGAGGAGGCGTAAAGCCGGACACACGGGGAGGGCTGCCCCGACCCAGCCGTCTCACGGGCACGCTCCACTCCCCACGGCGCGCAACCAGAGGACAACGCCGCCGTGGCGAGGTGTTAACTACCTCGCCTGGTATACAGGAGGTCGTGGGTTCGATCCAGACCCCTGCCGCCTGCTGTATATTTGGAGTTTGCGTGTCTCTCTCCCGTGGTCGCGTGGCTTTTTCTCCGCGACCTCCGGGTTTTCCCTCCACATTTAGAATCAACATCACGCGTTCATATTGTTTGGCAGCTGATACATTTGCACACGATGATCAGCCACTTCGTTGAGCTATCATTTGTGGCCAGGTCGCTTCTGAAAAATAAAAATGAAGGTCAATGGGCCTGACCTAGTAAAATGAAAAACATATTTTAGGTGTTAGAGTTCAAACGAGCAGCGATGCAGCGCTCGTCTCCTGCTTACAGCCCTGCAGAACCAGTGGTGGAATTTCCACGTTCCTAAGGCGGGGGCGAGTACCTCCACACGACCATCACTGTTAGAGGGACGATGGGCTGAGTGACGTGAATTCAAACGCTTCGCGATCAACAGCCTCGAGCCAATCACCGGCAGTGCGCCCGATCTCGTCACACGCGGGAAGCTAAGCGAGATTTGAGCCTGGACAGCGCTTGGATGGGCGAACACCATGCAGCGGGGATACATTGTCAGCAGAGAGCAGTGCAGCAAAGTCTGCTTGTTGTATTGTACTCGGCTGCAACGTCTCCGCTCCCCGCCGTCACGAGCTCGTGCTGACTAGTACCGTGCAGGGTGCCAAACGACGTCCACGGCCAACGGGGTGCGCGGGGCGGCTTCATCCAGCAGCGGATCGGAAAAGCGATCCACGCGTGCGGGAGGCAGACGTGACGTCATCAACACTGAGTGTCCAGGTACCAAGGTGCCGCTGGGTCGTTCACCTGCGCTCCACAGGTGTTCGGAAGCCGCCGGAGCCACGCACTTTTTAATCCAGATTGAAACTCATTTCTTTGCAAGGCATGTTTGTGTTGGTAATGTGTTGTATTACCCCTCCCGCCGCCGCACCTCCGATTAGCGCGGTTGGCCACGTACGGCGCGAAAGAAGTTCAACGATAAACACAAAACGTCTGTCGTCATCTTGCGACGCCTGCTTTCGCCGCTGCGCGTGCCGAGTCTCCAAATGTGCGGAGGCGAGGTCCACCGACGCGCAACGAGAGTCCGGCACGGGTATTTATCGGCGTGATTCGGGAGAGAAAGTGGGCCGCGGTGAAAACGGCACGGCGGCCGTGTCCGCGCTCGCTCGCAGACCCCCCCCCCATACCACCCCCCCCCCACCGACACACCCACCTACATTGGAATTGCTCGGCTGGAAAGAGACGAGAAGAATAAACAAGACGAAGCCTCGGGACACGGAGACGAAGAAATGGAATGGTGCTGCGACGGTTCTAGCAAGGGCCGTAATTTCCGGAATGGGAACATCACGGCGGCAATCGATGAAGGTAAAGCAACTCATTGGAGAGGACACGGAGCTCGCTATCACAGCGGGGCCACGTCTTCTCCCCTATTCTGCCCAAGTCGTCGCATTTCACGAGCGCGGCTCGCTCAGAATTACTACGCGCCGTCTGGCAGCCTCAGCCAGGGGGCAGGAGGAAAGTAAAACTTCGATGTGTAACAATTCACTCCCCGATGATCCAATGAATTGGCTTGATTCACGGTGGCGATTTTGATTGTTTTCAATTGATATATATATGTGTTTGCATCGTGCTGAATACGGCGGCCAACAGTAACTGCAGTGGGCACGTAATATCATTGACTACAACGGACACAAATCATGAAACAGTCAAATTATGAAATCGCAAACCGTTGTTCAACCCCTGCCAGATGACAGCCTCCCCAAGCAATGTCGGTCACGTGGGTCGTTCGACCATACCTCACCACGCTGGTCAGTGGCGGTTGGTGAAGGAGTGACCCAGGATCAGATGATACATCACTCGCCACCGATGCCATCCGTGTCTGGAAATCAAAGTCAGTTTGTTAGGTTTAGAGTACAGTGCACTCCCGCTCCACCCCAAGCTACGTTGTCACCATCGTCATCGGCAGCGGCCATGCTCTATCCACTCCTGGATGAAGGTCTCGTGAGGACCCCACCACGCACACAGCTGCAAGGCAGCTCGCTCCTGCACGCGAGCCGTTATCACCGCTCTATCTCGACAACATCGACAGCATGAGCTTCAACGCACGCATCCTCAACCGACTACTTCTACTAATAATAATCGATATTAATCGATGAGTCGATGCATCGTTAAACCCCGAACAGGGACAACTGTGTCCCCATTTCACTCTGACATAAAAGTCGCTCCCGCCAAGCTCCCTTCAACGCGCTCGTAAATAAACTTTAATGGCTAAATTATTGCCACTCAAGACATACATCTGAAACTTTCAGCTAAAATTACCAGGCAGCCGTTAAATCAGAAGCGCATTAATCAATTCTGGTCAATTATGGCAAAAATGCATCAATCTTTTGCGCGGGCACCACTTATAATTCACCGCTGGGGTGGGGCGTTCAATGTGGCACGGCCACATTTAAGCAAAGGTATAACCTTTTAAAAATGTATCACAGACCAGCGCACTGAGTGGTTGCAAATTCAGCACTTAATTCCGGGGTGGCATACTCTGAAACGAGGCATTAATTGCGGCACTAAGTACCTCCCTCCTGCCCACCTCCCTCCTATCGGTGCTCCTCTTGTTGTTGACTCACGACTCGTGTTGAAGCACTCCTCCGCAGGGGTGTCGTGCTCAGAGCCCCGGGTTCGCTGGTTCAATTCCATCTCCCAACGGCAGAAGTTGAGACGAGGGAGCAAGTTTCATGAACCCTCCCACCCCCACCCACCCCCACCCACCCCCACCCACCCCACCATCGCCTCATTCCAGCCAGGAAAATCAACAAACGGATTCATCGCAGCTCGTCAGAGCCCACAAGCCCCGTGCGGTAGGGTAAAGTATCAGTACTCCCACCTCCTCCAAGACATCTGAGCAGCGTGGAAGAGAAGACCAAATACCCTTTTAGAGGGGTCCTCTAAAGCTATCTCTAATGGGGGCCGATCCCCAGCAGTGGGCGTGAGAGAGCACCTGCAGGGATGCGCCTTCACCCAAGATGCGTTATTCCGCTGATCGGAAGAGGCACGGTCATCCCTGAAGGTTGTCCCACGGTATCCATTACTCTGCCATCCAGCCCCAGTCGCGACTCTGTTGCTGGGCGCAGAAGCTGCCAGGCGGAGACACCGCAGGCTAATGTCAGCTGATCGCATCTCATCGCAGAAACAATGCACCTGATCTCACATTGACGTGCATCGACATTCACCGCTGAATCAGCTTCTTGCTTAATTACCATTGGAAAGGTTTGTCTGGCAAAAATGCTGACGTGTTAATTTCCCCGTGCCCAAGCGCAAAGTCCTTGGAGTAGTTTAATGAACAATGTGCGGCACATATTAAATAATCTTTTGTAAAACGTAAAAAAAAGAAATTGACCCGACATTCGACATTTTACCATCCTGAATAGGATCTTGAGACTCGTTGGGGCGTTATTTAACACGTTTCATTCCTGGTGCTTATTTGCACGGTCTGTGACAGCCGTGACAATATTTAGAGTTACGGAATATGTTTCCCTATTCGTGGAAGGATGAAGGCAGTGACACAGAAAGAGATTAAACATTATTCGAGTTTAATCTCCTCAGGCCATGACCTAAACTGTCCACAGTAATATTTAGCATCACTATCATTATTGCTGCAACTCTCACTGAAAACAGGGGTCTTATGAGGCAGGGTTCAACGCTTCGTAATCATCATCGTCATCATCGTCAGTCATGGTAAATCCACTGCTGGATGAAGACCTCGTCAAGCTGCCGCGGTCTCTAACGATCGCGGGACGTCACAATCCACACAGATTCCATCGCTCCGTCTCTCTCGATGGGCCCAATGGCTCGTGGACGCCGGCCGTGTGCCCCGCGCCACGCGGGCACACACGGCGGTGGCGACGGGGGACATCTCACCCCGAGCCTCGCACGACGACAGAGAGGGCCCCGCAGCGGCCCTGGTGGCCTCGGGACGAGGGGCGCCTCCTCCCGAGTGGCATTTTTTGCCCCGGACCTAGACATCGACCGCGTCCCGTAGCGTTGGTCAGAGCGGCCTCGCATGGTACGCCTGGAATCACTGCCCGCCCCACCCAGCCACGGACTCCTCTTCCTTTTCAGCGCCCATGCTGGGATGTTTCTGATGCCCCCTTCGAAATCAATGGGACGCGCCTCGCCCGTCGTGAGTTTGCGCGATTCTTTTTGTTGACCGTCATCAGCTCGGCGTCCCCGCAGTCTGGCGTGGACGTGACGCGCGTTCACGTTGTGCGCGCGCACGCCCACAAGAAGTACACACACCCATCGGTGAACACATACACACGTGTACTGTACTACGTATGCATATATTTATCAGCATGCGGGGGGGGGGGTGAGTAAACAAGAATGAGTGAAAAAAAAGCCCAAAAATAATAAAATTAAGGGCTTTGCTTAGACTCCGGCACTAATTCAAATTTAATGTATTACTGTACACTCGGCGTTGCACCAAATTTGCATTAACAGTGGGGACGTCTGGAAGCGCTCATTTGGCGTTAGCCAAAATCTGGCACGGCGCTCATTTGAATAAAACGGTTTAAATGGGGGGGGGGGGGGGAGAAATAAATAAAGAACTCATCAATTGTGTACCTTGTGAAGAATAGATTTAATTTACAGCCGCGGTAATTATTCTTCTTCTTTTTTCACGCCCTCAAAGCTTCCAGATGCGGCCACAAGGAAAGCAATGTTTAATTAAACGGAGTAATCGTCTTCTGCCACGCTACGTTCCACGCGATTTTCTGCAACGGCAGGGAGAGAGAGAAAGAAACCCCGAACACGAGAAGCTCCAGCGTAGCATGCAAAATAGCTTTCCCAATGCCACGTGCTCCAGCCTGAAGCACACATTTGCATATTTCAGCGTCGCCGGAGAAAGATAGAGAGGAAAAAAAACCTCGCAGTCAAAGTGATTTTCTGCTCAAATGAGCATTGAGGCATCGGTGCTCATCTCCTGTTTACAGCCCTGCTGCCCAGCCAGTGGGTAGAAATTCCACATTCCTATGGAGGGGGGAAATCTATTCGTTGGACGAAAATAAATTCTACCCCCCCCCCCCCCGGGCAATTATCGACCACCCCGGAGAGATGACGGCACTGAGTCTAGCGCCGTTCAGGATTTGAACTCTAAACTTTACAATCGTCGCGAGAGGTTCGCTCTACTTGACCGGATATAATTGAGCCCAGGAAATCGGTGAGGTTTGAAACCCGTGAGCTCTGCTACTGACATAGAACGGCGCCGATCAAACAGCGGCACTGGTAATCAGCCAGGTGGCTCGGCAATCGGGTGAGAGAGGCACGCACGCTCAAATCCTGCCTGGCGGTTCACCCAGCGCATCATCTCTCCCGGGGTCGATACATTCAGTGCCGTGTTGTTGGGAGTATTGACACAGAGGTTGTCCTATGGACAGACTCGCCCCCACCACAGGAATGGGGAATTTCCACCACTGGCTCAGGACTGTAAACAGGAGGCGGTGAGCAGCGCCTCAATGCTCGCTCGAGCAGGCAACCACTGTGTGTTGTTGTTGTTGTTGTTGTTTGTTTCAGGTTGTTGATTCAGGGGACGAACTCGCAAGCCACAGCCCGAGTCGGCTATGACACCCACACGCGCGCGGCGCACGGATCGGGGTGTTTGAGAGCAGTTCTGGCGCTTGAGTCCGCTGCACGCAAGGCCGGCTGCCCACGCGTGCCTGTTTATGCGATTGATGAGACCACACGATGTGAAAAAAAACTGCAAAGGTTTTTTTTTTACTCCCGACAAGAAGACGCTTTGAATGTTTTTTGTTTGTTTGTTAAATCGAGCCACTGCGGTCGCGTACGCGCGCACACACGAGCTCACTGTGTGATGCCGAAGTCACAAGGCGTGTCGCTCACAGCGCAAGGGCACGTGCGTTGCACAAGCAAAGATGCGCGCGCACGATTCGTCGATAACGAGCGCTATCTGCACATGCACGTTACACGTGTGCGTATAATTTTTTGTAAGAACAAAATGAAACCTCGTTACATATGAAGCACCTCTTTTTATATTTTATTGGGTGCAATTGTGACCGAAGGCCACATCAGACATTGAGTACATCGACTCGGCATGACGATTGAGTCACTGCAGCTCCAATCCTCACTCCTACACGGCGCGTGGTGACGTCGGGAGATGTCCCTGTGGTGCTCGGCACTTGAAGGCCTGAAGACCGGAATCTGTGATCTCGCCGGCGCGGTGTCCAGGGAGGCAGCTCCATATCTGTGGCAATGTAAAGGATGAACATTGCGGATCCTATTTTCCGCGATGTTTTCCGTGAATTCACTCCTTTTCATCTGCCAAAGCCAACCACGGGTAACAGGAAAAACAAGCCCGTCGACAATTATCTCGAACGTGTGACATGATCCTATGATACCTCCTACTAAATGCAATAAACCTCCAGTTAACCACACCTATATTACCCACGATTCATATTATAATATGAATCATATGAATCTTGGGTTGTGGGTAACTGGGGTTGTATTGCATTTAGTAGGAGGCATCACAGGATCATGACACACGTTCGAGAGTACGAACTGCATAGGGCATTTGGCCTAATCTTCCACGTGAACCAGCAGTCTTAGAAGACTTTACCTAACAAATCGATTAACCGCAGCGAACCCGTCTATGCATGTATGTACTGTATGTTGAACTTCTTTTGCACCGTACAAAGCCAACCGTGCTAATCGCAGGTGCTGGATGGACAAGCGTTGCGGGTGGGGCGGGGAGAGAATTTCAGAAACTTGCTTCGAAATGTTTGGTGCCGCGCCAGGAGATCGAACCGACGAACGCTCTGGACTGCAATCGCGGTGAGCTGACCGCCAGCGCTGAGCCACGGCAGCTCCTCCTTTGTCGACGCAGCGAAATGAAAACTTCCCGTAACGACGATATCAGACACGCTACCCAGCTGCCTCAGCTAAACACGTGCAATTCATAATCACCGGGTTCACACGGAATGTTACGCTGCACTGCAATCAATTTCCTTGCCAAGCTGACCTTAAAGAAGAAGTTAATTAAATGCCTGTTCTATGTAAATGTGCTTCTGATGATGTTAGAAGACACTTGCGCTTCTGGGAATTGAAGGGCGGAAATGTTCCATTGGGCACATTTTGCAGTTCAATTGTTCACACTCGGAGTCGCCAAAGTGGAGCAAAGTCCGCTGTGGAAGCAAGGAGACGGAAAATAAGTGAACCCGGCGAGCCGAGTTCGATTCCTACTCACGACCAACAACATCGCTGACGATTATCTGAAGCAGCCCAGGGCATTCCCTAGGTCGACTCAGCTTCAAATGAGTACCTTGTGTGTAAACATCGTCACCCGGGAGACAAAGGCGGCCGGGCGAGGTGCTGGCCATTCACCCCCTCGTGTGCCATGCCGGCCTTCATATGTGCTCGCTTACAGTACTTGCCCCAACAGTCTGTTGAGGCTACACGGGGGATCTTTGTCTTCATTTTCACGTGAGAGAAGGCGAGGCTGAGAAGAGTGAAGACTCCCCATCGCTTGTCTATGATCTCATAACATACATTTATACATTATAGCACAAATTATACTTTTTACATAGAGCATCTAGAGCTGAAGTTGCATTTATACTGCTCTTAGAAATTAAAATTGCATTAATTACTCATTAAATTAATTCCAGATATTTTCAATCCACAAACTGCCAGTTATTCCAACACTTGAATGCACTTGATTGGAGTCCATTTATCTTTAATTATATTGCCCATACAAGGAAAGTTTTGAGTGTAATGTTGACATTTCAAGGAAATTAGCACACGGGCCACTGATGTGTATTACTCTGC